GCCTGGAAATGGGGAATTGGCAGAGTTTGGTCACAGCAGCCATGGGGGGGGATGACTAAAATTCCGATTTCTACAATTTTAAAATGAAGCATTTTAAGGTTTCTGAGAGAACTGGATTTACCCAAAACCACCATGAGAAAATGGAGTTGCTGCTCTGGGGGGTTTGGTCCATCTGAGATCCAAAATTTCGATTTCTACAACCTTAAAATGAGGCATTTGGAGGTGTCTGAGGGAATTGGGTTTGCCCAAAACCACCATAAGGAGATGGAGTCCAGGAGTTTTGTCCACCTGAAGCCTAAAATTCCGATTTCTACAACGTTAAAATGAAGTATTTGGAGGTTTCTGATGGAATTGGGTTTGCCCAAAATCACCGTGAGGAGATGGAGCTGCTGCTCTGGGGGGTTTGGTCCATCTGAGACCCAAAATTCCAATTTCTGCAACTTTAAAATGAAGTATTTGGAGGTTTCTGATGGAATTGGGTTTGCCCAAAATCACCGTGAGAAAATGGAGCTGCTGCTCTGGGGGGTTTGGTCCATCTGAAACCCAAAATTCCAATTTCTACAGCCTTAAAATGAGGCATTTTCAGGTTTCTGAGGAAATTGGATTTGCCCAAAACCACCTGCTTTTCCATGGATTTTGGAGCTCTGGGGGATCCCTGAACCCCCTTTTCCATGGATTTTTGGGCTCTGGGGGATCCCTGAACCCCCTTTTCCATGGATTTTGGAGCTCTGGGGGATCCCTGAACCCCCTTTTCCATGGATTTTGGAGCTCTGGGGGATTCCTGAACCCCTTTTCCATGGATTTTGGGGCACTGGGGATCCCTGAACCCCCTTTTCCATGGATTTTGGGGCACTGGGTATCCCTGAACCCCCTTTTCCATGGATTTTGGAGCTCTGGGGGATCCCTGAGCCCCCTTTTCCATGGATTTTGGAGCTCTGGGGATCCCTGAGCCCCCTTTTCCATGGATTTTGGGGCACTGGGTATCCCTGAACCCCCTTTTCCATGGATTTTGGAGCTCTGGGGGATCCCTGAACCCCCTTTTCCATGGATTTTGGATCTCTGGGGATCCCTGAACCCCCTTTTCCATGGATTTTGGAGCTCTGGGGATCCCTGAGCCCCCTTTTCCATGGATTTTGGAGCTCTGGGGATCCCTGAGCCCCCTTTTCCATGGATTTTGGATCTCTGGGGATCCCTGAGCCCCCTTTTCCATGAATTTTTGGGGCACAGCTCACCTGGAGCTCCCTGCTGTTGGTTTCTTCAGCCCCAGCTCCTCGCACTGCGCCTCGTAAATCTGGTTCATGGTGCTGTTGCCCAGCTCACACATCAGCTGGAAATGAAATTCCAAGATCAAAGCCTCAGGGGGAGGAATTTCCCCCCCTTCCCAAGGAATTCCTGCATTCCCAGGATTTCCCCCAGGCTGGTAAAATCCAGCACTCACTTTGAGCAGCTCCGGCTCCCAGGAATCCAGCGTGAGGGATCGGACCTTGGAGCAGTGAACACCCAGGCTCCTGTTGGGCCAAGAGGAAGGAAATCCAAGGATTATTGGAATTCCACAATCCCAGAACTTCCCTGTCGAGGTTGGGCCAGTCTTTAAGGAGCTCTCTGTGCAGATGGAGCTGAACCAGGGGGTACAGGGACAATTCCTACGGGATCAGTCGGCACAAACACGGCACCAGCTGCAATTCCAGCTCGGCCAATTTCCTGGAATTCTGCATCCTGCATCCCTGGGAGAGCATCCTGCACTCCATCCCTGTCCCTTTTCCATGGAATCCTGCACTCCATCCCTGTCCCTTTTCCCAGGGATTTTCCCCAGGAATCCTGCACTCCATCCTTGTCCCTTTTCCATGGAATCCTGCACTCCATCCCTGGGATTTTCCCTGGAATCCTGCATTTCATCCCTGGCCCTTTTCCCAGGGATTTTCCCCGGGATCCTTTACTCTATCCCTGTCTCTTTTCCCTGGGATTTTTCCTGGAATCCTGCACTCCATCCCTGTCCCTTTTCCCCGGGATCCTTCACTCCATCCCTGTCCCTTTTCCCATGGATTTTCCCCGGGATCCTTCACCCCATCCCCATCCCTTTTCCCATGGATTTTCCCCAGGAATCCTTCACCCCATCCCCGCCCCTTTTCCCATGGATTTTCCCCCAGATCCTTCACTCCATCCCCATCCCTTTTCCCATGGATTTTCCCCAGGAATCCTTCACCCCATCCCCGCCCCTTTTCCCATGGATTTTCGCCGGGATCCAGCCCCCAGCAGCACCTGTGGATGCCGGAGCACTCGATGCACAGCAGGATGCCCAGGTTGATGCTGGCCCAGCGAGGGTCTGGCTGCCCGCAGTCACAGCACTGCTCATTGCCAGGGATGCTCTGCACCCTCTGCAGGATTGTTTCCCCTTTCCCACCACGATCCCGGGAATCCGTGGCCGAGTCGATGCTGCTGGTGGAGGGGGAGGCTGTTCTGTCCAGCCTCTGCAGGGAAAAGCAAAAAAATCAGGGTAAGAACAGCTCTGACAGGCCTGGAGGAGAGCAAACCTGGCTTAGTTTGACGCCTTGGAGTGGCTCTGAATGAGGGGGATGAAACCTTAGGATTTTAGATTTTGTATTTTTTACCTTGGGAGTTTTTAAAAAATATTATTATATTTATTTCTTTAGTGTAGAACTCTAAACTCCCTGTGCAGTGTGAGCTGCAGCTTTCCCATTTTAATCAGACAAAACAATTTCTCTCCAGGCCTGGGAATCAAGGACACCTCACTGCCTCAGGCCCCGAGAAATGTAAAAAACATTTTTTACATAAACTGAGAGGGGCAAACTTGGAGTAAATTCCTTCATCACCTGAAGCTGTAATTGGAGGAATAACCCCTGATATGTAAATAAACCAAATTTATAATTGTCTGAAAAAATCCTGACCATCATCCACCTTGGGTGTAACCTTCAAGGTGTATCCATCAAATATTTAATAAACACCCACTTTTATTCTCTTAATCTTGTTCTGGCAGCCACTGCAAGGCACCCAGGTGATGAAGGGAGCAGGGAATTCTGCATTTTCCATGGTTACAAAGTAAAGATGTGCCCAAAAGTTTCAACCATGTGTTAAAACAGCTGGGGCAGTGATCCTGATCTCTGGGGGAGATTATCTCCTGTTCATGTTCCAGCTGTTAAAAATCAGGTGAGACAATGTTCTTTATCTTGCCCACAGCCCATCCTCCCTCCAGGAGATCTCTCCTGTCCATGGCCATGCAGTCCCAGGGCAGGGCTGATCAAATTCCATCATCCCATTGGGAGATGCTCCAGCCAGGGCAGGAGCCGAGCATTTCCTACCCAGATCAAAGGGGAGATTTGGAACACCTAGATAAAAACTGAGATTTGGAACAGCAGAGCAGCCTTTTCCCACTGGATCCCAGAGGACAAGAGCTCCCAGAATTTTCTACAGGATCCCTCCTGGGAGGTGTCAGGTTGTTATTCTGACTCTGGCAGTGCTTTTCTTTTCTACTCTTGCATGAAATTTTTTTTTTTTTTTTTACTTTTTCCTATTAAATTGTATTTCTGACTTGAACTCTCCCAGTGGGTTTGCTGTCAGTCCAGCACAGCCCCTCACCTCGATGTAGTAGCTGTCAGGGCTCTCTCTGTAGGCAGAGGCAATGCTGGCTTGGACTGCCTGGATCCACGCCTGGCGCAGCTTCTCCGAGTCAGCCTGCAGCATGCAGCTCCTGGGAAAGCCAAAAAACACCCTGGGGGTTTGGGGACAGCCAAAAAACACACCCTGGGGGTTTGGGGACAGCCAAAAAACACCCTGGGTGTAGCCAAAAATCATCCTGGGGGTTTGGGGACAGCCAAAAAAACATTCTGGGTGTAGCCAAAAAACACCCTGAGTGCTTGGGGACAGCCAAAAAACACCCTGAGGGTTTGGGGACAGCCAAAAAACACCCTGGGTGTAGCCAAAAATCATCCTGGGGGTTTGGGGGCAGCCAAAAAACATCCTGGGTGTAGCAAAAAACACCCTGAGTGTTTGGGGACAGCCAAAAAACACCCTGGGTGTAGCCCAAAATCATCCTGGGTGTTTGGGGACAGCCAAAAAACATCCTGGGTGTAGCAAAACACTACCCTGAGTGTTTGGGGACAGCCAAAAAACATTCTGGGTGTAGCCAAAAAACACCCTGGGGGTTTGGGGACAGCCAAAAAACATCCTGGGTGTAGCAAAACACTACCCTGAGTGTAGGCAAAAATCTTCCTGGGTGTTTGGGGGCAGCCAAAAAACACCCTGGGTGTAGCAAAAAATTACCCTGAGTGTTCAGGAGAGCAAAAAAACATCCTGGGTGTAGACCAAAATAATCCTGGGTGTTTGGGGAAAGCCAAAAAAACATCCTGGGTGTAACAAAAAATCACCCTGGGAGTCAAAAAATACCCTGAGTATTTGGGGAGAGCCAAAAAAACCCCTGGGTGTTCAGTAGAGCAAAAAAACCACCCTGAGTGTAGCCAAAAAAACAACCTGGGTGTTTGGGGAAAGCCAAAATAAACATCCTGGGTGTAACAAAAAATCATCCTGAGGGTAAAAAAAAAAAACAAACTGGGTATTTGGGGAGAGCCAAGAAAAATCACCCTGGGTGTTCATGGAGAGCCAAAAAAACATCCTGGGTGTAACAAAAAAATCACCCTGGGAGTCAAAAAAACCCTGGGTATTTGGGGAGAGCCAAAAAAAAACACCCTGGGTGTTCATGGAGAGCCAAAAAAACATCCTGGGTGTAGCCAAAAAATCATAAAAATCATCCTGGGTGTTTGGGGAAAGCCAAAAATCATCCTGGGTGTAACAAAAAATCATCCTGGGTGTTTGGGGAGAGCCAAAAAATCAACCTGGGTGTTTGGGGAGAGCCAAAAAATCATCCTGGGTGTTTGGGGTGAGGCTGCTCCTCTTCATCCTCAGCACAGGTATCGATTGCAGTGGGGCAGAAATGAACCCCATGAATTTGGGGTGTTCCCTTTCCAAATTTTCCAGATAAAAATGAACCCTGCAAGGTTGGGCTGTTCCCTCTCCTACCCCAGGAAAAAAAAATTAAGGGTTGGGGCGTTCCCTCTCCAACACCTTCCAGGTGAAAATTAATCCCAAAAGTTCGGGGTGTTCCTTTTCCAACCCCTTCAGGTAAAAATTAATTCCAAAAGGTCAGGGTGTTCCCTCTCCAAGCCTTCCAGGTGCAAATTAACCCCTTAATTAAAATTAATTAAGGTTGGGCAGCCAGAGGTGTTCCCAATCCCAACCCTCCAGGCAGATCTGGAAGCTGTTTTTAAAAGCTGGGCATTACGTATGAAGTATAAATCATCAATATAAATAATAAAATGGAATACGCCATATAAAAAAAAAAATAAAATAAATATAATTAAACAATCAGATGATGCCTGAGGAGCTCCCCAGGGATTCTGGCACCTCCCAGCCAAAATTCAGCAGCCCAGGGAGCCCCGAACTCACTTGGTGGGGGAGACGACCTCAAAGCAGAATCTCCTCTCGATGTCCTCGCAGGGTTTGACCGTGCAGAGCCTCAGGTCCTCCACCACCACGGTCAGGACATCCTGGGGGGACACGGGGGGGCTTGGGGGGGCCTTGGGGACACTTTGGGGGCTCCCTGGGGCTGGGGAAAGGTTGGGAAACTCCTGCCCCGACCATGCAAGCTCGTTCCCAAATCCTCCAAACTCCAAAAATCCAACCCAAACCCTTCAAATCCTGCCCAAACCCTCCAAAATTCTGCCCAAATCCTCCCAATTCCCTCCTGCCTGAAACCCTTCAAACCCCTTCCCCAACCCCCCAAAATTCCTTCCCAAATCCTCCAAACTCCAAAAATCCTGCCCAAACCCTCCAAAGTTCTGCCCAAATCCTTCAAATTCCCTCCTGCCTGAAACCCTTCAAATCCCTTCCCCAATCCCCCAAAATTCCTTCCCAAATCCTCCAAACTCCAAAAATCCAACCCAAGCCCTCCAAAGTTCTGCCCAAACCCTCCAAAATTCTTCCCAAATCCT